AAGAGGACTCAACAAAGTGCCTCCAACATAATAAACAGAATTAAAAATAAAAATAAAACCAAAATGAAAGTTAGCATGGAAAAGGATAGGATGTAGTTTCAGAACTCTACAGCTCCTCTAAGTATAGAAATCCTAAAATTGCCCAGAATATTGTTTTCTCTTCATATATGCTCATCATCTTGAGTTACTTATAAAGTGAAAAAAAATGGGGTAAAATCTAAATAAATAAATAATACATTTATGAAAATTCAAAGGATAGTACCCTAAAATCCATGTCTAAATTTTTAAATTGATTCAATTTTAAATTGTTTAATTATGGGTCTTAATACAGGGGTGCTTTTAATTGTGGGCCAAATTAATTTAATTGGATTTTAATACTGTTTTTAAATTTTGTATTTCTTGTGTTTCATCTGTTGGCTGTTCACTGCCCCGAGTCCTTCGGGAGAAGGGTGGTATATAAATATAAACAATAAAATAAAATAAAATAAAACTTATCTCTGATAAATAGAACAAGAACAATGTTAGGATAAGCCTGATATTCAAATTCAGTCTTCTAATAAAATATTTCCTGATCTTTTCCCACATGAAGCCTCTCAAAGCCTGTAATGCACACACAAAGAGAAGCTTCTGTTGTAAAACCTTCCAGTGTCTTTTGCAAATCTGTTTCTTTTCTTCCTAGATTTTGACAAGATTAACACAATGCATTTATTCCTTTTATAATATTGCCTATTTTCACATATTGCTATTTTTATGTACCATGAAATAGAGAAACCCTTTTATATGATAGCGACTTCAACAATCCTTTGCTAACAGATTTATTTGATATAACAGATCAAAAACAATGTAATAAGGAATTCAGTTTAAGCAAAAAACATAATATGCAAAAATTTCACTAGACATCACAGTCCATTTCCACCAGCTTGGGAAAACTCATGAAAAATTAAACATGGAATAGATATTAATTTTGCCCCATTTATAAAAGAAATGTCTTTTTAAACCACATATTTATAACACTTAGCCAATAACAATATCCCATGCTTCACAACCTGGGTAAGAGTTAAGACAAAAATAAAAATAATGGGGAATGAATGAAGCTACAGTAAACACTGGTAGATATTGAATACAGCCAGTAAAAGGGAAATGCTTAAAACAAAGCATTTTGTGTCTGAAAATTATATTTGACCTTTTTTCTATTAGGCAAGTTCCAATTACATACAGCAAAAAATATAATTAAAACACATTTACAGAAAATTGAATCTGCATAAACATAGTCTCCCTTCCCCCACCCCCACAAGCACACCTCTCTTTATTAATCCCCAAATATGGGTATATCTGGTATTTTGCCAGAGTATCTCATGTCATTTGCCTTTTTTAAATAAACAGATAATTGCTTCCCATTTATGATAAAACAAATCATATTGTATGTAATTAGCCTTTGATAACACACTGGAATTAAAAGTTTTCCTTGATCCTTAAAATGTCATTTTTGAAGTCCCCATAAGTATTTCCAAACCAGCAAACATCTTCCAAAACATTTATTATTTCATTATTATATTGCACAATAGCATTTAAATCTGAGGGACTATGGTGGCAGCAAGGACAGTTAGGTTAAATTGTACAAATTACACTTAGCTTTCTATACCCACTAGCAAATCTGAAATTCAAAGCACAATATTCTCTGTCTTTCTATGGCAGGGATTTGGGACTGGGCAATGCAGTGTTGGATTGGTGCAGTTCAACCACCTTCCCTAGAAATAATCTTTGGCTCTCACCAATCATACTTAAAGCATAATTTGGATTACCATTACAAATGTTTTACGTTCTTGGTTTACGTTCATCAAATTTTCGTCTGCAACTTCTCAAACTCGAAGTCAGAAATTAGTACAATTCTGGTTTACTATTGTTGTGTGCAAACATAGCAATTTTTATCTGCAATATTAGCTAATGGAGAAGGCTTGACTTTTAGTTAAATTACCCTGTTTCCCTGAAAATAAGACATCCCCTGATAATAAACCCAATCGGGTTTTTGAGTGCATGCCCTAAAATAAGCCCCACTGAAAATAAACCCGCCCCAAAAATATTTAAACGCATGTGCAGCCAGTCCCCGCCATTTCCTCTGGTTTTTTCCATGCGCCCCAAAATAATAAGACCTCCCCGAAAATAAGGCCAAGTGCTTATTTCAGGGTTCAAAAAAATATAAGACAGGGTCTTATTTTCAGGGAAACACGATATCTGCAACTTACAGTTGACTCTTAGACAGCCATCGTCTTCTGCCATTTAAAAATTACTCAACATTTAAGGTATCTAAACTAAATCCAAGAAGATTGTTAATCACTACAAATTAGATAGTACGATCTATGCTAACAATTTCTGGATGGAAACACACTAGGAGTTTCATTGTCAAATGAGAAATGGGGCACATTTTGTTCTTAATTGCACATAAATTACTGTGATTATTATATGGCTAAAATGCATTTATCTATTAACACCTCAGAAGAACATATCTGAACAAAGGAATTATGCATTACATCTTGAAATAATGCTGAACAAAGGAATGAATTAGTACCGTGCATAAGGTATTGCAGTTACAATAATGAAGGAAAATAATAAAAAAGACTTGCTGTAAATCTTTAATACTAAGAAAATCAAAATAACCTTTAGACTTGAAATAGCTTTTTCCTCATTGCAAAAACATCCAATCTTTTTCAAGATGCTGTGATGCTACCATCTTTCACATCAGACCACTGGTTTGTTTAACTCAGTATGGTCCATTCTTGGCAGTTCTCTTCAAGTTTTCAGCCAAACATATTTCTTAATCATACCACAACAATATCCTTTTCAATGGTGATGCTAGAAACTAAATTTGGAGTGCTTTGCTGATAAACATGTATTTAAGCTCTGAACTATAAAGATATAGTCTCCTTTGAGACAAGCTAACTTTGGATGTCTTCATTGATACATCAATACAGGTTTCTCTGAAACAGTACAAAAACTGTTTGCTATCACTGCTAATTACTCATTCTGATGCAAAAAAACCCACTCCCAATTTTCTCTGAATGTGTTTTTATTAATGTCATAATACTAAAATCTGTCTGTCTGTCTGTCCATCCATCCATCCACCCACCCCTATCTACATACCTATTTTTTAAACCACCCATCTCCTTCACAGAGGGACTCCCTTTGTCTTAGCATTTCAAATAAAACTACCACAGGCATCCATGTGGAGGAGCAAACGATGAAATATGACATCATGTTGCAAAACTTGTGACTTCCATCTGTGTTTGATGTTATGGTGCAAGTACAAAAAAGCCAACACTTTTCCCTGTTAAATCACAATACATATTTCATTATTATTTTTTTTCATCATAATGAACTATATGCTTATAAAAACCTCATAATTTTTTTTGTACTTTTCCTGTTACCCTTTAGCAATAATGCTTTGCATGCAAAAATGCCAAAGATTTAGAATCATTTTGTGGTACACCCAGATTCATTGAGGCTAAATGGACATAGAAATTTCGTGGACAGTGGACAACAGTGACTTGAAACAGAAAAGTCCTGGATTCAAAGATTATTGCATTAGAGGGGAGCAGATTTTTTAATATGAAATTTCCTGCGATAGGGGATTTGGTAAAAAAAAAAAATGCTTTCAAAAAGAGGCTATAGCTATATGGTTGTAAGGAAATGTGACTTTAGTCAGTAAGCAGGAAGAAGAGTCAGTTGCAGAATCCAGAAATAATAGGAGCAGGACTAAGGTAGAAAGTGAAGTTTCTATTACAGAAAGCAGATTAAGGTGTGTAAGCACTTTGTATAATTTTGTTATTGTAAATACAGTGAAATTATCATTCAACTGAAAGTTTCAAGCCAGTTTATAAAGAATAAACAATAGTGATGATAGCAGCTGCTAGCAGTGCTGCTAAATTATACATTATTATCTGCAACAATGCAATATGATGCATGAATCATATTTGGGGCTGCTGACAGCTATTCAGAAACTGGATGGCGCTGGATGAATCCTGGAACCCTGGCACTGGAACAAATTCTAAGCCAGAAGTAACCTCTGCCCCCTAGAGCCTTAACTGTCATTTTGCATCATGCTCTCTCTTTGCATCAATTTACTCAATAGCCCTGCCCTGAAGAGGAAGTCAGTAAAGGTTTAGCTTTGATAGAGATGGGTAATAGAGACAGATGAGCAGACTTCAACCACAGAGAAAGTAACAGATTCTTTATTGGGGCAAGATATTCTTCAGGAAACTCATCTGATATCACTAAGATGCTCTTGGATGAGCCTGCAAAGCCAATTAACTTTGTCTCTTTAAAGAATACTGCACAATGGCCAGGGAGAAAGAGCACTGAACAAAATCAGCTCAGATCTCAAATATTAGTTTTATAGCCAGCAGACACATGAAGAGAATAAGAAATGTGCAAATTGTCTGTAATGCCTATATATTTCAAATGCAATAAATGTCCAAATTGGAATTATTTTCCTGCTAGCACAACAGCTTCTTCCTCCACTCATATTTTAGGAAAATACAAGCAATGTTTACTAAAAAGCTTTATGTGCAAGTCAGTAATTAGCAACCAACATTTGGTATAAAAGTATATCTAAGAACTAAATCAAATCTTGCAAAATGTCACAACAGATAATAACTACTTATTTTTCATATTAACATGGAAAGGAATACATATATGCACTATCTCAGCATGCTTGCCATACCATTTAATATAAAACCTGATAATTTAGGAAAAATGAACTAGCATAACACATCTGAAAATTCTATCAAGGAAGCCACTGGCAGCTGAATTATGCATTTCTGGTAGATTCCTCCGGGCTGGATGATTAATCCATGCTGATACTGCCAGCTAATGTGACCTACAGATTCATTCTGGCTCACATACCACAATAAAAAGAACACTATTGCAATGTCAAAAAAACATTAACAATGCATCAGTTCTAGATGCATTGGTTACAATGCAAATTTAAAAAAAAACTGTGGTACCTTTTTCCCACGGGGTTTACTGAATTGGCCACATTCCGATTCACAAGAGACTTTCTCCTTGATAACTTCTTGGTGCTGGTGCTGTCATCAGTGGTATCATCATCTTTCTTTGGTGTGCTACCTCCTTTGCTGTTGAGATCCCTTAACACATTATAATTAATTTTACTTGAAATCTTCTTCTGTTCCAACATTTTTTCAATTGCCTCTCCTGCTGTGCTGGCCTGGATCAGCTCCCGTTTCTTTGCAGACTTCTTGGGCTTAATTAAAACATAAGGAATAGGAGTTTTAGGGGGCAATGAGAATAATCTTGCTGAAATTAAAGAATGGGCTACAACTATATCATTTTCCAATGACAAATCATGGTGAACAGGAAGGGTAAGTGATTAGTTATAATAATGGTTTGTCAAAATTTTAGTATGATATTACCACACAGTAGATCCAGAGCTGGATACGTGAATAGGCTCTTGTGAATTTTCCTTCCCTTAAAAATGATGCACTGAAATAAGTTTTGTTTTGAATGGCCATCAATGTATTTATCATGTATGAATGCTAAAATGTAGGTTTTTAAAATATATTTTCCTTCAACATGTCAAGTCCCATTTTTAAAAGTTTTGTTTTGTTTTGAATGGCTGACAATGTATATACTATATACCAATGCTAAGACGTAGGCATTGGTAAGAAGATACGTTGAAGGAAAATAGGTTTTCCTTCAACAACTCAGGCCCCATTTTTAAGAGTAGACCCTGGAAATAAAATTTAATTGTTATCCAAATTTGAACTACTATGCCCACGGAAAGGGACAACTGAATTGGAAATGTAAATTAATTTTTCTTTAATTTTAGATCATAATGAAGCAACTAAGTGAGAAATTACTACTGCTTGTACTACAGTGCTTCCAGTTTTAGTGAATTGATTATGATAATGATCATATAGCTTATATGTTTTGACTGGATCTCTTCCAATAAAGGGAGAGGAGTGCTAACTAAGTTTCAAGAGAATCAGGGTTGAATTATGAAAGAGTGACCCTGGAGTACTGATTCCACAATGATAAATTTGTAACTCTTATAAAGAAAATCAGAAGTTGTTTCTTTAAATAACTTTTTCTTTTTAAAGTTTTGTATATCTTTTCTTTTTCAAGTTCATTTTCTGTACTTTTTTCATCTTTTACTCATTTAAAAATCTCTAATAAAATTCTATTTAAAAAACAGATAGCATTTGACATTTACTAGCTATTATATGTAAGGAACCATAAAACCTTTACTTTTGCAAACATTTTTGCACCTGTATAAAGGGTGGTTTTTTTTAAAGCTGACATGATAATGGAACTATGAGTATCACATATATAGATCTACCTGCCTGGGCCTAATTCATACTATACTCCCTTCTGTTCAATAGTTCATGTGCTGAGCTATATCTCCCTGCATCCCTATATGCAGGGGGTACTCCTGCATATAAAAACATGGGAACCTGCTGATGTGAGCTATGGAAACTTTTTATTGGTTGTGTGAATTGGCCTTCTGGGATTCCAGCTGCAATTCTCCTATTGTATCTAAAGCAAACCCAGTTATTTCCCCAGAGGCAATATTTACACAGCCTTGAATTGATTCTATTTAGCATTTATAGTCCAACCTGCATGCTAAAGTCTTGAGATGTATAGCAGCTCCCAAATGATTCCATTGAAGCAATCTGATTATGACAGTGTGGATTAGTTTCAATGTTAAGCATTGTGTCAGTTTAACTTTTACTCCAAAAGTCAGACCAGACTAGACATAATTCTTAATACTCATAATTCTCAATACAATAATGTCCTAAGTCAGCAGTCAGCATTCTGTCACCATCAAAGCTCTCTTTGCAACTCACACACAAAAAAACTACAACACCTCTCTGGCAAAAAAAATCAATAGTGTGGTTTTCTACCATTTTGAGGTGGTAATTGTATAAAAACTGCAAGGTAAACTGTAAAGTATGCTTAAAATAATTGGAAATGAAAGAAAATACACTTCCCATCTGCAAATAGAAGAATCTCTCAAAATCTTCACTTCATCTAAAGGCATGATGCAAATCATATTCTTAAGCAGTCCACTGAAAGTAGCAGTATTCTGAAAACTGTGGCCTTGTTCTTTAAAGAAGTCTATCCCTACGCCAACAAGTTGTTTTTTTTAAAGGATGGGCCTAATTCATATCTATTCATATCAGAAAGCTCAAATTCATATCAGAAAGCTCAAACTGCCCAAGGAGCTGCTGATACAGTTCTACAGAGGAATTATTGAGTCTGTCATCTGCACCTCCAAAACTGTCTGTTTGGTTCTGCAACCCAACAAGACAGACACAGACTTCAGAGGATAATTAGAACTGCAGAAAAAACAATTGCTACCAACCTGCCTTCCATTGAGGACCTGCATACTGCACGAGTCAAAAAGAGGGCTGTGAAAATATTTACAGACCCTTCGCATCCTGGACATAAACTGTTTCAACTCCTACCCTCAAAATGACGCTATAGAGCACTGCACACCAGAACAGCTAGACACAAGAACAGATGTTTCCTGAACGCCATCACTCTGCTAAACAAATAATTCCCTCAACACTGTCCAACTATTTACTAAGTCTGCACTACTATTGATCTTCTCATCGTTCCCACCACCCATCTTTCCCACCTTCCACTTATGACTGTATGACTGTAATTTTGTGCTTGTATCCTTATGATTTGTATTGATATTGTTTCCTGATTGCTTTTTTGTACCCTATGACTATCATTAAGTGTTGTACCTTATGATTCTTGATGAACGTATCTTTTCTTTTATGTACACTGAGAGCCTATGCACCAAGACAAATTCCTTGTGTGTCCAATCACACTTGGCCAATAAAAAATTCTATTCTATTCTATTCTATTCTATTCTATTCTATGAGCTTGAAAAAATAGAGTATGTGAAAATTTAGATGCTATAAATACTTAAATATTTTGAGCCTCAATGTTTCTAGTCATTTATATTTATTATAACATAATTCTCCCTGCATTGTTATAAGGGTTCATGTAAAGAAAAACTAAAGTGTTACAGTAGAGATGAGGCGTAGAGGACAGGTTTTTTGAAACCGTTTTAACTACACATTCTACTACACACATTTATTTATTTGCTACTTCATTTATTTACCAGGCTATTCCAAGAGACATCAGGAGGTTTACAGAATAAAGCATACAAAACCTTTCGCAAACAATGACATAAAGCCTTCTTAAACTATTAATAAAAATAGGCTCTTTCCACTTAAAGGAAAGAAAATCTATAAAAGAATAACAATGCCTCTATTGCCCGTTATCACCTTGGGCAACATGAGCAGATACTCAGATTTCAAAAACTCTACAAAATAAAAGTGTTCCTTTCTTTCATGATACCAAAGTAGAAGTAATCCATACTTCTGAGATGAGTCAATTCTACAGAAACAGACCAGCCATCAAACAGGCCTCCCTCAATGCTTCTCCAACATTTCCAAGGCAGTATCTGAAATATTGATTCCCAGATTGAAAAGAGAAAGGGAAAAGAGGTTTTGGCTTTCTTCTGTATGATATCAATTCAGATTGTAATGGCTTCTTCAGATGCCAGCTTGGACAATGAGGAAGAGCTGGATTCAGGAATTTCAGAGAGGAGTGGAAGAACATCAGGATAATGCAGGAGACTCTGTGACAGGAGTAGATGGGCAAGAGGAGGAGAGACTAGGAACATCGGAAGGGCTAATGGAAGAGCGACTGGACAAGCATCTGTCTGAAAAGGAGACAGAACAGTCACAGCTGCAACCAGGAAGCATGAATGCCAGCCAGAGGCACAGGGCAGAGAAGGGCACAGCTATAGCCAATTAGTGGAGACAAGGAGGAACTGCCTCCTCCATGGGATCTCAGGTCACATAGACACGAGCAGAGGGAGGTACAAAGGAGGTCAATGAGGCTACTTGTGAGGAGGCAGCCTCACCCCTCCTAATGAGTCACAACAGATGGTGACTACTTAGTCTCAGGCGTAGAGGAGAGCTATGTTGAAGATAACCATTCGCTCCCTGCCATGCATGTGCTCTGACTTCGTGTTTCCGGACCTGTCCTTTGTTACTCAATCTTGTGCTTGGACCTTGCATTTTGGATATTGTATTGAAACTTTGGACTTGTGCTTGGACTTCGCACTGGTGTGGATTGCTGGATTTATCCTTCGATCTCAGACTTTGTATTTGGATGTTGACTTCATGCTTCTGCTGTGCAGACTCTGACTCATTGGGACCTTGTATTTCTAGTAAAGGGGGACACACTAGGGGCTTGCTGTGCTTAAATAAAGCATTAAGACTCCTTGGTGTATGTGTGTGTGTGGACTGGGACAGGACATAGATATTTGCAGAGTACTATCATACTCATTCTCAAACATCTTTTTTCAAGGAAATATATCAAACTTCTTCAATCTGTCTTCATAGATCTTAGTTTCTAACCACCTGATCATTTTTATTGCCTTTTTAAAGCCTTGTTTCAATTGAATCCTTCTCAAACGATTAAAAAAAATTCTCAAAAAAATCATCTCAAGGATAATTAGGGGGATGGAGGCTAAAACATATGATGAACAGTTGCAGGAATTGGATATATCTAGTCTGGTGAAAAGAAGGACTAGAAGAGACATGATATCAGTGTTCCAATATTTGAGAGGCTCTACAAAGATGAGGGGGTAAAGCTATTTTCCAAAGCATTAGAAAGCAAGGCAAGAAATAATGGATGTAAACTAACCAAGAGAGAAGCAATCTAGAACTAAGAAGAAATTTTCTAACAGTGAGAGCAAGTGGAATAACTTGCCTCTAGAAGATGTGGGTGTTCCATCACTGGAGGTTTTTAAAAAGAGACTGGACAGCTATTTGTCTGAAATGATATAGGGTCTCCTGCTCAAGCAGGGGGTTGGACTAGAAGACCTCCAAGGTCCCTTCCAACTCTATTATTCTATGTTCTATGGTGCCCAGAACTGGTCACAGTATTTGTGGTGGGTTGTGGCCAATGCATGCAGAATAGATTCCTTACCTCCCATGATTTGAAAATTGTAGTTCTATTGTTTTGTTTGCAGCCACATCATACTGCTGGCTTATACTCAGTTTGCAATCAAGTACTTTGCCAAGAAATTAATCCATTTTAAATGGGTTCACTCAATTCACTGAACTAAATAGTAACCAAATGGGTTGGGTTTGCATAATGCATTATTCCACAATAAAAACCAACCAAGCTTACAAATAAAGTTGCTATATCTTT